GTCGAGCTCTGGTCGAGTTCAGGTCCACAATAGAGTGGGCATAGACTATCAGTTCCGGCTGATTTTAATATTATTTGAATTTTCTTATGTTTTATGTAATTGGGAGCATTTTTCAAGAAGAAGTTAGCTCTTCTAATAAAGGGAAGTAAAAAAGTTAACATACGTTAGGAAATTTATGGTAGTTATCCTTCTTTATGAGACATGACTTTTTTTAAAAGCATATCAATGCTAATGTATATGGAATTATTGTCATTTTCTTTATTTTACAATATTTTCTTTTGCATTTATACACATTTCTAAGCTACTCCAATAATACATAATTATACAGATCCTGTGATGAGAGCAGTATTTCGATCAACTATCTCGTTAGGAGACATGAAATTTGGTTTATTTTAATTGAGATAATACTTGTCCATGGTGTTTATAAGTCTATCTACCATATATGTGAACTACACATAACATAATACTTTCATATAATGTTTTTTTTATTCTTCCTTCAAAAATTATCCAAAGGAAGACTTAATTTGTTTTTCGTATATCCTTTTCGTTTATGTTATCTTGCTTGGACTCTTTGGAGGACAGGATGAAAATAATGTATATAAATGAAGGTAACATTATCTAAAAAAACATCTGTTTATAAATATTATACAATGCAATTGTAAACCATTGTCTCTAACGTTTTGTATAATATCTCATCAATTTCAAAATTTATACTATAAATGTAATGTGAAAATCTTAAGTCTCGTTTTTTAATGTTTAATGTTTTACTGTATGATTTGTATTTTTATGGTTATGCATAATTGTATTATTTTACTTTTTGCAACCGCTACAACTGTTTTGTTACAATGGCAAGAGCTGTGTTATGCGGGGAATACTATGGTACGCAAATAGAGGGTCTTTGTGTGTGGTTTTGCGCTCACCAAACGACGACGTGATCTTCTCATTTTAGGTAGAGCCTAAACAGGTTCCATCCTGTATGTGTTGTCTGTCAAAAGCTACGTCATTAAACAAGCAAACAAACAAACGCACATCTTCAGGTTTACGTCACATTTAAATCGAGTTCCAACGTCGGATGACTTTCTGAAAAGTGGTCAGATATAAAAATATGTTAGACGTCTTTTTCCGACGTCAATCTCATTAGTATCTGATCATAGTCTAATCAATATCAAGGTTCACGGTTAATGTCTGAGTGCAGAAATTTTTTATAGCTTTTATATTTCTTGAGAAATTTAGTTGAAATATCAAACATATATTTATCATTATCCTAATCATTATCATCATCATCATCATCATCATCATCATCATCATCATCATCATCATCATCAGCACAAGCGGCAGCGGCGGCGGCAGCAGCAGCATTATCATCATCATTATCCTCATCATAATCATCATATCATCAGTAGCAGCAGCAGCAGCAGCACAACAGCAGCAGGAGCATTATAATCATCATAATCATCATCACCATCATCATCATTTTCACACAACAATCAGTGTAGGTTTTATATTTGGTTGCGTCTCCGATCTTTTCTAATGGATTTTATAATGGAATTATATGGGATTATGAGTAAATGGGTAAACGTGCCATATTATTTTTCTGTGCCTCACTCCAAGAGTGCCTACCCATTAATCATGTGTAATAGGATATTGGGAGGGTCGACGTTCCACGTTGCTCTCCCCTTTTTAATATTGGATAAATATGATAAATGAACATTGATTTTGCGATGGATATTAACTCGAATATTTGAAATATTTCCTTTAATTGTTTCAATATATTACAATTGTTTACTCTATCTAAATATAATACTAAGTATGATATGAATACATACAAACAACAACAAAACATCATCAACAACAACACCCCTTACATTGGAATTATAAGTCACAATATCATACAATACAAATGCACATTAATAATAAACAATTATATATAAAAGTATTAAACGTGATATCTTAATGAGATCAAAGTTACTGCTCGATGTTTATGCTGTACATATATGTCCACTTTAGTTTACAGTTTCAATAAAGACAAATAAAACACTTATTTGTCACATGATGTAATATCTTTTGCTTTCTCAGCTCTGTTGGCGATTGGTATAATTATAGTGATTCAGTATTCTGTATGGCATTCAACACGTTCTGCACTACTTCTTCCGTTCTAAAACATCTTATAACTCTAAATTCATTATTTAACAATATTAAACACATGTTTAACAATTAAAGAAATATGGATTTCTGAGGAATAATGAACCTTAAATATATTATTAGATATAACGAGAATATGCTACATTACATTTGATTAATAACCGTTTGAAGTTCACTTGATCATGCAATATCTTTAAAAAAATTATCTTGCAAATCTATTTACTCAAATAACTCAATCAATTCAATTCTTTTATTCATTGAAAACACATTTTCATATGAATATAAACAGCTAACAAAACAACAAAACCTTCACCAAACATAGGTAATAAACAATTACAATTACAAGATTGACACAATTTCAACACTCATAATGAATAATGGTATATGCAAGTGTTAATATACCACTGTAAAATAGAAAATAACAAAATTATCAAAGCAGATATTGTTCGACTGTTTTTCGCCCTACCCATTATAAGAAATCTTGATTCTATCCTAACGCAAAAGTACAAAAGCTAAGTTAGTGATAACTGGTAAGTGGATAAAAGGCCATACTAAAATTGTTCACATCATTTGATTCTCTTCGTTTTATTTATTGAGTAGAGGACATACGAAAATTATGCAAAGTCTTTTTTATTTTGTTTGAAATGGTTACGAAAATGGTGAACACCAATAAAAATGCATTGGAAATCGGAACCCATTAATACTTGTATACGGTAAATACACTGGATAAACGAAGATTATGAAAATAGATCAAGTAAAGATCCCGTCATAACTCAAAAATACCAAAGTTATATGTACCATGCTTGGTTTATGGATAGAAAATCACGTAGAGATAAGGCATGCTATATGAAGAAAATGTTGTTGCTGTGGCTATAGAAACAGTATAAACATTGAAGTTATCTTGACATAAGTTGATGACTCTCACACACTTGACTTTAATTTTCTTACAGTCACAAAAGCACGACTCTTTCATTACTATCTGATGATTCTAAGCATCTAAGACAATTTCCACTTTTATGTTTCTTCATTTATATTTAATTTGGTTGAGAAGGAAATTATTCAACATTATACCGGTAGGGGACTGTTGGATTGTCTGTGATATGATCTTGTTTATACTTGAACAATATTGCTTTGGTCGGTATGAAACAAGTTCTAAGTAAACAATGGGCATGTGGACGATATCTAGAGTTCATTAAGCACTGTCGCCCGTGAACAGGCTCCACGAAACCGAGCCTGCATCATTTTTAACTTAGCTATGCGGTAGTTCTTTATTTTCACTTTTTTATCTAGCAAATAACAAAGTCTCGCGATAGAAGAAGCACAAACATATTTTTCTATTCAATTTCTTTCACGAATTGGACGGGTTATAAGTTATAAATATATCGACGAACATACTCACTGAAAGTAACTGTTCTTTAGTAAAATAGAGGATATTTGTTTAGTTCAGTGTAAGATCAGAATATATTTCACCGAGTGAGCACCAAAAGGTATATTTCACGAGTGACGCAGCCATGAGTGAAATATGAACTTTTGGTGTTCACAAGGTAAAATATATTATGATCTTACACTAAACTAAACAAATTTTCTTTTTATAACATGCAAATAAACGTTTTAAAAAGACATTAAACGTAATACTGAATGAAAAGCGCGCCAAATAATAATACAACGTGACGCCATTTTCGACGTCACGTCATTAAGCTGATACCCAGTACTGTGCACGCTGGTATTTCACTGAAACAACGTTAGGGGCTTAAATTCAAAACAGTGAAATTATCAAAGTGGTAATTTCACTGTTTCAAACAGTGAAATTACCAGTTTTATATCACTGATATATTTCTATAAACCACCGAAAAGCATGTAATAAAGCTATTTCATTTGCAATTTATTGCTCATAATAGCCTGTGTCATGGCAGTAATCTGACTACTTATGTTTTCAATTATTTCTCGTTTTGTGTTATCAATATGCGCCTTAACAGTGGTTAATTCGGTTTTGACAGAATCAATTTTGCGATCAGTATAATGCAGAATATCTGTCTGTATTTTAGTTGTTTGTCTGCTAATCTCGTCAGAAATATGGCGATCCATTCCGGCCACATAATACAGCTTTAAAGTCACAGCCGAGTTCTGTCGATCAACGTCAATGTGTGGTTCAGTGGGTGGATTTCTGTAGCGCGACATGAATTCACTTAATGCCTGTTTTATTCCAGGGATTGGTGTAACCATACAGATGTCGTCGTTAATCTTGCCTTCAAAAATACCAACAGCAGTCAATCTGTTTCCGTCTTTTTGAAATACAAGTGATCCTGAATCTCCTAGCTCTCCAAATGCAACGCCGTCAACAGGTTCTATTTCGATTTGATTATGCAATGGTATGTCAAGCCCAAGATATCTGCCATCTAGAATACTGGTTTGCACTGAACTTCCTTGTAATCGGACCATTCCTTTGGTAAGTCCACTCACCGATCCGTATTTGTAAACATATGGACCATTTAACAGTGTGTTTTGGCTACAAATATCTTCGACAAAAAACTCAAAATCATCACCTGTTTCACCTGCTGAAATGAAAACACATTTTGTGTTATTATTGAGGGTAAATATTTAAGGTGTCCTATATCATAAAGTGTATCGAGCCGAACTACTATTAATGTTAGCTTCTACTATAAAACATAATATCATTTACGTTTTGGTTTCACCATAAAATTTCGTTATTAATCGAAAGGGGGGGAAATAAGAGTCACGTTGCGGCAAAACCTTATCCTAATTAGCAATTATGTGTAACATTATAAAAATAAAATATTTTACAACGAACTATACTGCAGTATGCATTTGTTATCTGTTTAGAATTAAAATATATTTACATTTTGAAGGAAATTTCCCATCTATTGGAATCCGGTTTTTGTTGATTCGAACAAGTGCAACTTCCATTCCAGGTTTGTATTGTCCGCCTTTCCTATAGACAGCGAACTCTAATTTACCCAGATGATGGCGTTGGTTATGTTCGACTGATATACTTTCAGGTGGCTGGTAAGTATCGGTACCAAACATTCCATAATGCACTTCTTTGTCTACAATCAGCCTCTGCATTTCTTCGTGGTTAAGCAGAACATGAGCGCTGGTTAATAGGTACGTAAATGAGTCAGTTTCATATCTGAAGAACGGACCTATAGTTCCTTGGTTTGTTCCAAATCCACTGTCTTATGCACATCCCATTCTCACATTTTCATGTAAATCTGTAGGAGATCCACAAAGCGTAAATACACCTTCTCGAACGTCAACTGGATATCCATCAATAAATTGTTCAAACGGATCCTCATCGATTGGAATAAATCCTTTGACCTGTACATAAAGTGCTATACACAGTGATTTAACAATACCGCTTTTCCTACCATGCCCACTTGATTTGACACTACTAATAGTTACCCATGTAAGATTTCTATGGGTTTCCATCAATTTGCTGGCATTTGACTTCAAGCATAATTTTATATCATTAATCCTTACATCACTAAAGTTTTCATTGTTACGTATGGAATCATTTTCCCTTTCGCTCTCCGCTAAAATCTTATTGACATTTCTTTCATATATTTGGTAATCTGTTTTAATATCAGTATGTGTTTCCGTTATAACAACAAAGATCAATATGATTTTCACTGTACTCCAGATTATTTCTATACTGAAAAGCGGGCCAAACGTGAACTATATCTTTTGACTGCTCTTTGATGCTTTGACATATAACATTGGTGATGTATCGAATAATCTCAGACTTACGACCGTATCTTTTGCAAATGGTTTGAAGCAATATATCATCCGGTAAAATTCCCTGTAGAAGCAGCTTCTTCGCAACTTTTTCAAAATTACTACTGTTTCTATAACAGTTCTGCCATGTCTCTGAATATAAAAATAATCAATAGTAAATCGTTTCACATGAAGAAAGCAAGTCAAAGATACCGTGTAAGAACATATTACTACGGGCTTAATATTCTGCATTTTTTGTCTAAAATTTCTGCGTATCTTATTTATGCGGTGTCATCTTTCTGGCATTGATGCGTTTAATTTGTGCGTTTCATTAAGATATTTATACAAAGTAAACAAATAAAAAGTGACAACATTTAGGGATTTGTTGATGTTACATTACTTCTGGTTTAAAATGCAGACCATTCATAATGCGTTTTTTCGTAATCATCATATATCGGTTTATACACGTAAAAAAACAACAACACACAAACACAATTTGAATAAAAGAACATCGATTGTTTCTTAAAAACTGACGTGTGAAGGTAAGTGTGAAAAATAAAAAATGGCAAATCGCACATAGACACAAGCTACATGTACTGTATGAATACAAAATACTGTTTACTGCAGGCATTTATTACAATTACAAACAAGGGTTATTTTTTATCATGTCTTTGATAATGACATCATTAATTATATTTCAAAATGAGAAAATTAAAACAGCGATATATACAACGGTATAAACCGCACATGAACACAAATTTAATATTTAATTGCAATATAAATTTTTATCGAGAATTTGATAGTATCATATAAAATATTCTGAGAAAATGATGATTATTTAAACAAATAAGCAAAGTAGCGATTTGTTTATAATCGTTTATTCAAGGCGGATACGTAATAAATTCCCAATACCATTAATTTCTACAGAAGCAGATGACGATACATGGTAATTTAATTAATATATACAATACTGGTAGTTAAAAAATATTCCAACATATAGATAGGGAAAGGCTTAATTTTCTGCAATCTTTAAATCTGCGATATCGTTATGAACCACAGAAATGGCAGAAAAAAGTACTTATACGGTAGATTAGAGCTAAAAAAGAAATACAGTCGTCAAACTTTTGGGAATATTGATATATACGGATGTAATTGCTTATCTTTCATAGGTGTGGGTAAACTCGAAATGCATGGATAACTCATCGCACGCCTTGGAATACTTTCTACAAAATAAAGCGTACATCCACAACCAACTAAAATTTAAATAAACATGTCATCTGCATTATTTCAATAAAAGTGAGATCATTTGCATGCAAAACTGAGTTCTAGATTGGCAAGGTCAAGAATATGTTTTAATTAAGTTATTTTTTTATCCAATATGTTTTCGGACACTACGGTTGTATTTTATTGTACTCATAAACCTAAAGGAATTGACCACTTATTTTTTCTCTATTTGGAAGTGCACAGTTTTGTCTCAGACACAGAGCTGCATCAGTACTAAGGGTGTAGTACTTAAGAAACAGTACCAGTACTTGCCAAGTTATGCAATACCATTACCAGTACCAGTACTAGATTTTAGCTCGGTATTGCAGTACCAGTACTTTTTTTAGGAAGTAATTAAGTATCAGTACCAATACTTTTATATATTCATCAAATTTTGAATAAATATACAGTGTCAAGCAAAACAATTCCAAACATTATTCAGCAAAGAAATAAAACCATTTACTTTTAAGTTAATATTACATTTTTACATTACTATATTACATTATTACATTTTATGATCTTATTCACGTCAGGCCACGGACAAAGTATATGAAACAAACATTTACATTCAGAGCGGCACATTTATGGAATACATTTCCAACTGAAAAAAAACTACAAAGTAAAGTGCCATTTTTTAAGGGTAAAGTAAAGGATTATTTAATAAAAAAATAGAGCTTAAAACGCTAAAAACTTTAAACTGATTTATAACAGAAATTTATTTAGCTCTATATAGCGTTTTGTTTGTTTGTTAACATTTATTGATGAGTGTATGTGCATAAGTTAAGATGCTTATTTCCATAACTTATTATTTATAATCCATGTATTTCGTAAGAGTGTTTGTCATAATTATATTGGTGTTTATTGTTATTTCTATTTTCTGTTTATAGATGTATAGAAGGTCATATTCGAAATAAGTTGTATGTTTATTATGTACTCTTAATATGTCACCATCTCAAAATTATTACTATTATTATCATCATTATTATTATCATTATTATTATTATTTATTACAACTTTAATGATTACACATACTTTTTACAAACAATATTTAACACATATATTTATGTCATATCTTATTGTTTAGGAACCAGTGAGCTGTAATACAATGCAATCATCTTTCATTTAAAACACAAAAGTTTTTGTCGTCTTTCACACCTTCACACATCTGATCAATTTATACCAAAGTTAATAACAACTTTTATGAATATGTTAACAATATCACTTCAAATAGGATTATTTAGAATAGAAACAATTAATAATAAGTGTTCATTTTGCTCTTTTCTACTAGTAAATACAAAGGAATAAAAAGATTGTAATAAAGATAGTTTAAGTTCATGAGTTATTAAGTCTGTTAGTTTCAATTTAATTTTTACTTCAAGTCTTTTGGTGCTTTTTTATGATGAATTCTACTTTAACATTTGAAGGACTTTTGATTTGATTTGATATCTACTTTTTCACAAAAATTACAAGTTTATTAGTTTCTTCCGCATTATAAAAGCTCATGGCATTCCATGTTAATTGAAATAAAAGAATCATGAAGTAAAAATAAATGGACAACTTTTTTGTGTAAATTTAGAAAGGGACAATCATCTCCTTTCTGTTATCAAAAATAGCAGTTTCGATAAATCTTAAAAATAATAATAAAATAAATAACTCAGATATTGTTTATATCTTCGTAAATAATAAAAACTATATTGCTAGAATTTCTTCATAAATTAATTTTTTTCAAATATTAATATCATTTCAAGAGGAAATATTCTGCTTTTATCTCCAGTAAAAATACACATTAAGAAAGAAACATTTACGGTTATTAGAATTATTTTTGTATCATGTAAACACAATGATGATTTAAATGTCCAAAGAAAATGCTTTAAGATAATTCTTATATTGATGTTTATCAAATATTAACAAATGGAAGATTATCCGAAAATACGCCCGCCATAAAAGCTTTTGGTGGACATGTAGGCATTATAGATATGCATAGCTTCTAGTGCTGTGTGACCTTGACCTTTGCACTAGTTCGTATATGAAACAATACATTTAATTGAGGTGAACATTTCATAAAGTTTCATAGAACATCTTCCATGCATGTAGGATATATGGTCAAGACAAAATCCATATATTTCAGCAACTTTAGTGACATTGACCTTGCATAAATTAAGCTATATTTCAAGTATCATGGCGGTAGTCATCATAATGATCATTTGTGTTACAATCCCGTAATAAATGATGGCTAAATGGAACTGATACAAATTTTCATGTTTCATCAGAACTTTGACCCATATAATAAATTATATGAACTCGATGGGACCTTACACTCTGCCTCACAATGGTTAATATGTGTACCAAGTTAAATCAAAGTCCCCTTATTTAGACATTTTACTCCGGACATGCCTTTTTCAGTGACCTCTAAGTGTGACCTTGACCTTTGACTAAGAGACTTTGTACATGCGCTCCACACAGCTTCTCATATAATGGTAAATAATTCATTTAAGTTTCACAAAAATTCCTCCATGAGTGTAAGGGGATGCTCTGGACGACAATCTCGATATTTCATCATCTTTAGCGACCTTGACCTTATATATATATTTAGCTAAATTCAAAAATTTCAAGTGTTACAGAAGTTATCACGATAATGACCGAAAGTAACTAAATGGTCCCTATACACATTGTCTTATTTCATTTGACTTTAGCCGCTAGGACCCAAATTAAGTTCGCGTTACTCCACCTGTATTTGTGCGAAGGAGTAATGTTATCCCTCAATGCATGTAAAAGTTTTGGTCAGACAAGCCTTTAGCAATGACCTTTTTGTGTGACCTTGACACCTAGCGATCTTGTTCTTGCCCATGACACGGCTTTTTTTAGAGGTGAACATTTCTATGAAATTTTATCAAAATCCATCCATGCATGTAGGATGTATGTGAAGGCCAAAAAGTGAAAGCCACTCGTCAGCTTTCTAAAATACGACACGTTATTCATACATGCTTTTTATACTAGAAACATCAAAATTAACGGCTCCTAACATGTATATACATAATAATACGGCTGTAAAGCGCTAATAATAAAAGCAACATCATAAAAAAATCTAATCAATTGTTCTCATGCTTTCATTCTATTCTTATAAATCAAATTTATTTCATTCTATACTTGTTATAAAAACAAGAATCCATCAATTTATTATAATTTACGACATTGTTCACTTTTATTCTCAAACAAAATGTTACAACAATCTTTCTGACTCATCTTTTCATTAACGGGTTTTATTCTTTGTGATACATCAAATTTATTTCATTCAAAAACAGCAACCAACTAACTAATAATTAAAACCTGTTTTTTTTTGTTACTTTTTGCTCAAAGAAAATGTTACAACAAACCTTCTGACTCATCTAGCATGTCTAGCGGAATGGTACAATATCTTAAATCTTCATCATCCTCCATGATTTTTGTATAACGGTCTGAAACATTATAACGATAAGTATATCATCTCAGCATTAAACGAAGATAAATCTGTCTGAAGTGTCTAGTAAATTATTAATTTCTATTTCTGCAATTAAAATGAGCAGATATATTTAAAGCGTTAGAAAATAATTAAGCCACGGATAAAAATGACATTTAATTTAAGCGAACGCCTTTCGCCTTTCTTTCTTACAAGACATATTAAAGCATTTATTTCTTGAATTCACATTTTCAAGTTAGGACTCTGACAAAGAATTTTGAAAATGTTAGACTTAATCAAGCAAATAAATCAAAAACGATAGTATACTTAAAAAGAAAAGTCTATCATGATTATCTCCTCCGTCATATTCCAAGTAGTATTTTCATATTAAGCAATTATGCAACTTATTA